CAACCTCTGCCTCCCAGGTTCAAGTGATTCTCATGCCTCAGCCTCCCAAGTAGCTAGAAATACAGGTGTGCTCCACCATGCCCAGCTAGTTTTTGTGGTTTTAGTAGAGACGGGGTTTTGCCATGTTGGCCAAGCTAGTCTTGAACTCCTGATCTCAGGTGATTCACCCGCCTCAGCCTCCCAGAGTGCCAGGATTACAGGCATGTGCCTCAGTGCCCGGCTGAAAACACTTTTTATTTTTAATAAAAATTTGTTTTTCTTTGTATCCTTTCTGCTCTAATTTTATAAAAAAGGCCACAGGTAATAAGAGCTGTTGAAAATTAGTTTCCCTGTGGAATGAGGCACAGAAGAAAGCTCTCAGGGCTTCTGATCTTATACACATGGCCTTTCCACTACCTTCCTTCACCTCCTAGAAGCTTGCAGAGATACACTTGCTTGAAACCAGCATCATTCTGGTTCTCCTTCCTTCCTTGGTGTAGAAAACCAGGTTACGGATGTGGAAAGCATGACTGTTAAAGAAGCCTTACTGTACAGAGTGACAAGTCTGTATGTGTTAAGCCTGGAGGGGAATGCAGTGTGCAGTCAGGGAGAGGTGAAATGAAAAATACCTTCAATACCCTCTACCCTAATAAGAAAATACAAACAAAGGTAGCAGCAGCCTTGGCAAGCCTACGAGGTTGATATTATAATATCCATTGTGGGGAGACCGAAGGTTGCCAGCGGGATACGGAGAGAAAGAGGGTCCCTGGGGACAGAGAAACAAAATTGTTCCATTTTCCATTTTATAACAGCCAATCCTGAGATGAGAGAGAGAAAAGCTGGGCGTGACACAGCTGTCCTCTCTCCTGCTTGCTGCTGCTGGCACTGTCATTCCCCACCTGTCCTGTGTCCCTTCTGAGCCTCCTCTTTCCTTCCTAGGTCACGAGCCCGGGCTGGTACAGTTGGTGAATTACTACAGGGGCGCTGACAAACTGTGTCGCAAAGCTTCTTTAGTGAAGTAAGTGTTAAGACTGCTGTTTTCCATGTTTTACCTAAATGAAGCACTGAGGCAAAAATGTGGGGTTGTTTCAAGGACAAACATGCTTTTATTTTAAAAGCCAACAAATATCAGTTCAGAAGCGTCCTCTAAGCTGCTTTGGTTGCAGTCCAAAACGTGGTGCTTGATAAAGCCTGTCTGTCTCTGAGGCGAGGCTCCTAGAAGCAGAGCCTGACTCAGGGTCTCCTGTGTAAGTAATTTTCCTGGGGTAGGGTTCTTAAGAGATACCCATCGGGAAGCAAGGACAGGGCAGGGCACGGGGAGAACCGAGTAAAGAGGTGGTTTTAGCCAAAGTCTTTCCTCTCCTGACTCCAAGGAGCACCGGAGTGAATGGCACCTCAGAGTCGTCACATTTTGAGCAAGGACCAGGCCTCTGTGCTCCAGTATCAGTCAGCCATCGGCTGTGGGAGGAGATGGAGGGCTTAGCTTTGCAAGCATTTCTGGGCATGGTCTGGTCCCTGGAGAAGGACATATATAGCCCTTAGCATGCATCTCTCATGGCTGCAGCGGGTCCCTCAGAAAGGATATCTGGGCAGGGTATAAGAACATCCACTCCACTAGCCATCTCTGAGCAGCTGGATTATGGCTTGGTATCACCACAGTATCAGAAAGTGGAAGGAGACAGTGTTAGACAACGATTAAGATCCAGGGTCAAAAGTGTAAGTTTTCACCCCAGCTCTTCCTCTCACTAGCTTGGGCAGATCTTCTCATCCTTCTAAGCCTCAGTGCCTCCCTCGTAAGGCTATTATGAGAATTAAATAAGGTGATGCATGTAAAGTTTATATAGCGCAGTGGCCTGGTGCATAATGAGTATGTGATACTACCTTAATTTTCTTGGCTGTCAGATGGGGAAATAATAATAACTACCTTAGGTTGTTATGAGGATTAATTGAGCTAATTTAGCTAAGGGCCTTGAAGAGTGCCTGTCTTGTTCATACTGTATAAGTGAAAGCACTCCCTATTATTGCTGTTAGTATAGTTGTCGTTGCTATTGTTATTTCAGTAGGGAAACACTGGGTCAGGCCACTAAAAATCAGGGCTGTCGTGGGCCTCCAGTATTCTTTCCATGATGGCTGGTGAACATGTGTGTGTAGCCAGGTCCTGGGAGATAGGACTCAATGCAAAATGCTCTTTTCCCACTAACATTTTTTTCTGGGCTCTAGATTTTTAGTAGGTTGGGTGCTCACAGGAACATTTCTGCTTTTTGTTCACTCATTGGCCCTGGTAACTTACGGAGCCACTCCTCCCTATGATGGATTTATCAGGATTCATCCCACTCCCGAAGGAGTGTGAGGCTTCCTAAAGTCATTTTGTGACATGTTTTATATTTAGAATGCAAATGACTGTTACACTGGAATCAGAAATAGAAATGGGACATGCTTGTTTGTTCAGATTATTCACTTAGAAATTCTTATTAAATATTTGTTAAACCTTTTCTGCTATGATTTTTCCCCTAAAGACAAAGTAGGAAGCAGAGGATGCTGTAAAAAAATAATGGTCTCCATATTTGCATATGTCACAGTTATAGTGAAGCAGAGTGAGTCTAGGGCTGGAGTCGTGACCAAGTGTGATAAATACCTGTGACCTTGGAAAGCATCAGAATCTCAGTGTCTCATCTGTGAAATGGGGATGGATGGTGGTGACAGTACCTGCTCGTTGCCCCTCGGAGGCATGCAGTGTGATCCGTGATAGCACCTTGTAATGGTGACATGACCTATGCAGACCTATGCATCATGCTCGTCAGCTTCCATCTTTGTCTCAGTTGTCCTGTGAGGGGCTTGTAGTAGTTCGTGATATGATGGTTCCCTTTATCCATTTGTCTCTCTCCCATGATTTTGTATGGCTTGAAAGGGCTCCAGAGAGTTAGAAAGAAAGTCTCCTTCATTATATAGGACAAAATGGCAGCTCAGAGAGAACAGCCGGGTTGCCCATGGCTATAGTAGCTCCTATTAAGCCAGGACAGTTTTAATCTGCACAAATGGGACCCCTGGCCATTGTGACTGTGCACCCTCAGGAGGCTTCCCAGAGCCTTGGTGGGGTTCAGTGCAGGACCCTGTGCAGCCCAGTCCTTCCTCCTGTCACTTCAGGGAGTTTCAGAAATTTCACTGAGGCCTCAAGGCCATAGTCTTAAAACCCTGAGGGGCTTTTCTTCTCCTGGTGCAGATCAGAGGCTGTCTTTTCCTCTCCTGAACATTGCTGTTTTATAGATGTAAGTAAATCTCCATTTCTGATTACTTCCCAAATGGGCCCATGAGGAAATGGGACAAAAGCAAAGGACTTCCTGCAGAGCCTGGTCTTGGTTCTGTGCAGGAAATGAGGGCTTCCAAATCAAGGTCATCTTACAGACCAGCACTGTCCAACAGAAATAGGATGCTACCCACATATGTAATTATAAACTGCCTAGTAGCCACATTAAAATAAGCGCAGAGAAACGGCTGCAAGCCGGGCGTGGTGGCTCACGCCTGTAATCTCAGCGCTTTGGGAGTCTGAGGCGGGCAGATCACCTGAGGTCAGGAGTTCGAGACCAGCCTGGCCAACATGGTAAAACCCCATGTCTACTAAAAATACAAAAAATTAGCTGGGTATGGTGGTGGGTACCTGTAATCCCAGCTGCTTGGGAGGCTGAGGCAGGAGAATCGCTTGAACCTGGGAGGTGGAGGTTGCAGTGAGCTGAGATGGTGCCACTGCACTCCAGCGTGGGAGACAGAGTGAGACTCCTTCTCAAAAAAAAAAAAAAAAAAAAGAAAAGAAAAGAAGCAGCTGCAATTAAATTAATAATTTATTATATTTAAATAAATCCAAAATGTTATTTTGACTTGTAATTAATATAAAAAGCTATTATGTTCTTTTTTTTCATTTGGAGTCTTCAAAATCTGATGTGAATTTTACATATGTAGCATATCTTAATTCAAACAGTAAATATTCATTGGAAAGCTTTGATCTGAATTTAGATTACATAAGAAATATGTGGTTGAAGAAGTAGATTTATGTACTCAGGTTGTACATACAAGTTTTTCAATAACTTTGAATGCCAGGAGATCTATTTCCTTTAATATTGCACGCACATTTTCAAAACCAGTTCATCTTTTCTAGAGGAATTGATTTGACTATGAAGTAAAAGCTTATTTTCAAAATAATGTCCAAGTAAATTCACCAACTCTTGTGTTAGTTCAATATTGTAAATATCAAATTCAAAGATGTATTGAATATATTGAAAAGTAACTCTAAATTTATCAATATCAACAAAGTGTTCTTCAGATTACTTTTAGTTTTTGCAGCCAATTTTCATAATGCTAATTGTAACATTAATGCTAATTGTAACAATTAACATTTTTTGCATACTGAGTCATGTTATAAAAATACGTGAAATCATTATTATCAACTTATATTATGAAGTTGAAACATAAATTCTCACACCTGTCTGGCTGGATCGTAAATAAGGTCTTCTTTTCCCTTCCTTGGAGCTTTAAATTTAGCTTGTTTATATGCAGTATGTAGATAGATAAGAAAATGCAAATGACAGTCATTTTTTATTTTGATTATTGACATGGTGAATTACTGAGTGAAAATAATGATTTGACAAACATTCCTTTTATTTTCAAGAACATCTGAATTGGAGTTGAAAAGTAAATATTTTAAAAAACCCCCCTCTCAGTGAATACTGGCAGAGAACACAGTATCATTAAATTCATTACCTTCTGCTTCCAGAACTGGAGAATCATCTAGTATATACAGAACCATTTTAACAACTGTATCCATGACACTTAGAGTCTGCTTCAGAAAACCTGACACAAGGCCGGGCGTGGTGACTCATGCCGGTAATCCCAACACTTTGAGAAGCCAAGGCAGGTGGATCATTTGAGGTCAGGAGTTTGAGACCAGCCTGGCCAACATGGTGAAACCCCGTCTCTTCCAAAAATACAAAAAAAAGTTAGCTGGGCATGGTGGTGCGCGCCTGTAGTCCCAGCTACTTGGGAGGCTGAGGCACAAGAATCGCTTGAGCCGGGGAGGCAGCATTTGCAGTGAGCTGAGATTGTGCCGCTGCACTCCAGCCTGGGCGACAGAACAAAACCCTGTCTCAGATAAACAAACAGAAAGCAAACCTAACACAAATGTTTTCAATATGTAACACATAATGCCATGAAGCAGGTGTTTCCAACATGTGTCATACAATAAAATGAAGTAGTAAAGGAAACAATAGTCTACTAAAATCTTAGTAAATCCTCTTTTTTTTTTTTTTTTTTTGGAGATAGAGTTTTACTCTATCGTCCAGGCTGGAGTACAGTGGTGCTATCTCAGCTCACTACAACCTCCGCCTCCCAGTTCAAGGGATTCTCCTGCCTCAGCCTCCCTAGTAGCTGGGATTACAGGCACCCACCACCACGCTCGGCTAGTTTTTTGTATTTTTAGTAGAGACGGGGTTTTACTATGTTGGCCAGGTTGGTCTTGAACTCCTGACCTCAGGTGATCCACCTGCCTCGGCCTCCCAAAGTGCTGGCGTTACAGGAGTGAACCACTGCGCCTAGCCATAAATCCATATTTTAATACAACCTAGCTGAAGTCCTATCTGTCATGTTAGAAAGTAATTTTTTGCATGTAGGTAAAATTCTGTGACAGACGTAAAAGATTTTAAAATATCTATACTATGAGGTTTTATGTGTGTGTGTGTGTGTTTTAGATGGAGTCTCTCTCTGTCACCCAGGCTGGAGTGCAGTGGCGCGATCTCGGCTCACTGCAATCTCCACCTCCCGGGTTCAAGCAATTCTCTTGCCTCAGCATCCCGAGTAGCTGGGACTACAGGCAACTGCCACCACACCTGGCTAATTTTTTGTATTTTTAGTAGAGACAGGGTTTCACCGTGTTAACCAGGATGGTCTTGATCTCCTGACTTCGTGATCTGCCCACCTCGGCCTCCCAAAGTGCTGAGATTACAGGCATGAGCCACCATGCCCGCCGAGTTTGATATTTTTTAAGCTGAAATTTGACAGCATTTTTTCATATATTTGGAAATCCTTTGAGGCAAAACATCCAAAGTATTAATTGGACAGCATCTTTTATGTCACACAGTTCACCTAAAGCTAAAGAAATTACTTAATATTTTTCAAATTTTGAGTCAATCTCTGATTGTTAGAAAGGTTTTGTAGTCTGTGGGCAATTGTGACTCAGCTGAAGATTGTTCGTTTTTTGTAAATTATATTTTTAAGTCTTTTCCTTAAAATAGTTTTTTTAAAACCACATTTGCATCTAAAATGGTTTTCTTTTTGTGTAAGAATCCAAGCCATTTTATAGTTGCCCAGAATTATAAACTCAGACTCTGTTAAACATTTGCTTAAAAATATGTTGGCTATTGTGATTTCAGCCACTAGTTTCATTAAATTTTTTGAGCATTGAGAGGAAAATACTTACCAAGTTTATTATGTATTTGCTAAAAAAGTCTCCTTTACACAACCGTTTTTTCATTCTACTTTGACCACAGCCTATTGCAGTCACCATTTCTTGTGAATCTGTGGCATATCTCCTTTCAGTTTTTTTTTTTTTAATCTCTTACTGTCCTTGTCATAGTTCTAGCTTCTGTCATAGTTCTAGTAGCGTCCCTACTCAGTTCCACATCAGTAGTATGCCTTTGTTTTAAATTTAAAACTTTGTCCAAATATTTTTTTAACTAGGAAGAAATTCTGTTTCACCTAAATTACCAACTGTGGTGTACGTAGCTAGCACTGTAACTCATGCTCTCTGTGTAATAAACATATCATAATGTTTCATCAGTGCACAGAAATAAATCACTAGAACTGAATCAATCTATTGTCCCTGAATAGAATAGCGATGTGTTTGTGTGTGATACTAGAAATGACACATGGCCCTGACGTGCATGCTGCAATGCAACAATAAAGTGAAGTGTTATCTCACCCTATCAATAAAGTTGTGCTTAATGGAAAAATATTTTATAATGTGTCCATTTTTTAATTAAAGGCAAATTAAATTTTAGGCCTGGCATGGTGGCTCATGCCTGTAATCTCAGCGCTTTGGGAGACCAAGGCAGGTGGATTACCTGAGGTCAGGAGTTTGAGACCAGCTTGGCCAATATGGTGAAGCCCTGTCTCTATTAAAAATATAAATATTAGCTGGGCATGGTGGCAGGCACCTGTAATCCCAGCTACTTGGGAGGCTGAGGTGGGAGAATTGCTTGAACCCGGGAGGTGGAGGTTGCAGTGTGCCAGGATCGTACCACTGCACTCCAGCCTGGGCGACAGAGTGAGACTCTGTCTCGAATAAAAAAAAAAATAAGCTTTAAATTCAGTTCCTGAGTCACATTGACCACATTTCAAATGCTCAGTGGCCATATGTGGCTGACTACTGCCCACCGGATAGGACAATGCAGATACGGAGTTGAACTTTCAGTGAGTTAAAAATATGTTGATTTTGTTCCTTGAAGTTCAAGTAGCTTTTCAGTTCTTTCCCTTTCGCTTTAAAATAAATTTATTTTTAATCCCTATCTAAAATGTCATTATTTCCACCATTCGTTCACAGACTGGGTTTTGTAGGTGAATCTTAACATGGACTTGGCATTAACAGTTCTGTTCTAAACAGAAGAGGGAGCACAGCTCAGGGAAGGCCAGTGGATGTCTGTGGGCAGGTTCTTCCCTGTCTCTGATTCCTGGGGAGCAAGAGCAGGTTTCCAGTTAAGACTTGGGGGTTTTGTAGTAGCTTGAGCTGTTAAAAAAAAAAAAAAAGAAAGAAAGACTTGGGAGTTCGGGGTGCATGCTGGCTGGTCCTCACTACCTTTGTGATCTTAGGAAATTTGCTTCTCTGTGACCCAGTTCCTAATTTGTGAAATGTGATACCAGTGCCTCTAGCTCCAGAGGTCTGATTGCAGAGTAGATGCTGTGGGAAGCCCCTGTGTGCTAAGTGCCTTGCCTGACTTTATCTTCTGTGGTGTTATGGTATTTGGGGAGCAGGAGGTATATTTCACTATGACCACTGGTGTCCTGTGTTCTGTTAGAAAGATACCTTTATTATTCTGTCACCGAAGCCAGCCTGAGCTAAAAGCAAGAAAAGAAGGGCTTTAAAAAGTCTTCTAATTCAGATTCCTACATAACCTTTTCTCCTATAGAGAGTTGGGCCAGGGTAGTCTTTTTGCTACTTAAATTTTCCTCTCTTCCCCATTTCATTTTTTAGTATGGGTCTGGCTCAACAACATATGTGTTGAAAAGGTATTGGCTCAGGATTATGTCCAGTGAAGCTTCCTTGGAGATGCATTTTAAAAAGAGCGAAAGTGTTGGACATTAAGCCTTTTGAATTAACTGGGGTATGCCTTTAAAGTTGCATCTAACAGCTGTGTGCTCCCCAGTAATGCATTTGAGCTTTGTCCAGGGAGACTAAGAGCAAACAGAGGTGTTAGAAGACTGAGTCACGCTTTGCCTCCTGGAAGATCTCTGGGGGAAAGCAGTGGCGTTTCTGAAGGGAGTGACAAAGTACACTAAGAAGGGAGGCTGACCCTCTTCTGTCATCTGCCAGGCTAATCAAGACAAGCCCTGAACTGGCTGAGTCCTGCACATGGTTCCCTGAGTCCTATGTGATTTATCCAACCAATCTCAAGACCCCAGTTGCTCCAGCACAGAATGGAATTCAGCCACCAGTCAGTAACTCAAGGACAGATGAAAGAGAATTCTTTCTCGCTTCCTATAACAGAAAGAAGGAGGATGGAGAGGGCAACGTTTGGATTGCAAAGTCATCAGCTGGTGCCAAAGGTGAGTTGGCACTGCTGTCCCCTCCTCTGTTCCTGGTGAGTTGTTCCTATTGTGATGTATTTAGATGAACGACCCTATTTTAATCTGAATCGTTGAAGGTGGAGACCGTGTCTAGTTACATAGTTATAAATACCCATCTATGTACTGATGCCTTGTAAATGTATATCTCCAGTATAGGTCTTTTCCTTTAAGCTCTAGATCCATTGACACCCTCACCGTCTCTGAAAGGCATTTCAAACTGAATACATCTGATACAGAACTTTTCATTTCCTTACCAACTTTGCCCATGCCAACCTGCTCCTCCTTCACGCTTTCCACTTAGTATATGATCCCACTCTTCACTCAGTCTCTGAAGCTTAAAACCTAGGATTCATCCTTGACTACTCTATTCTTTACAATCTACTCCTGATGCATTAGCAATTCTTGCTAGCTCTACCTTCAAAATACATTATGAATAGACTATTTCTTGCCATTTCCACTGCTTCCCCTCTAAATCCAAAGCCCCCGTTCTCTTTAGTGTGTGTAACTGCAGAGCCTGCTCTCAACCAGTTCTCCTTCCGGACAATGATGTTTTCAAAACATAAATCTAATCATGTTACTTCCTACTTGAAACTTACCAGCTGGCTTCCTAATGCAATTAGAATGGACTCCGGATTCCTAATGGTAGGCTGCACCATTTGACGTTTGCCCGTATCTCTGATCTCATCTCCTTCTATCCTCAGCTTTGCTCTCTGGACTGTAGACACAAAGACTGCCTAGTATCTCTCAAATATTCCAAACTTGTCTCTGTTCCTAGAATGTGCTTACATAGTTTGTTTTGTTTCTCTCACCTCAGATGCTGGCTCATCAGGGAAGGCTTTTCTAATCTGAAATAGCCTCTGTGTCCTTTGCTTTCTTTCCCTTTCCCCTGCCTCATTTACTTCCTGGCATTAACCTCTTCCTGGCACTATACTACTTCTCTGTCCATCTCTCCCATTGTTCTGTAGGTTTCACACAAATGCAGACATTCTGTCTTACTCATCCTTGTACCTTCCTCGTAGGCACTCAACAAATATGTGTTGAATGAATGCGTGTAAGGGGTAAGGTTTATAATATTAAATCAGGCAGAAAATAGAGGCAGTTCCCAATGTAATGAACACATAAACAGTCTCTGTCTATGACTGCCCTCATATGCTCTTTATAAAACCATTCCGGCCGGGCGCGGTGGCTCACTGCCTGTAATCCCAGCACTTGGGGAGGTTGAGGCGGACGGATCATGAGGTCAGGAGATCGAGACCATCTTGGCTAACATGGTGAAACCCCATCTCTACTAAAATTACAAAAAATTAGTCAGGCGTGGTGGCAGGCAACTGTAGTCCCAGCTACTTGGGAGGCTCAGGCAGGAGAACGGCGTGAACCCAGGAGGCGGAACTTGCAGTGAGCCGAGATCGTGCCTCCAGCCTGGGTGACAAAATGATACTCTGTCTCATTCCATTTTGAACTCATTTCTTGTATTGCCTTGGAAGACATCTGGCCACTGGTACTCATTTCTATTCTGGGTAGAAAGGACCTCACCTTCTTTTCCACCAACCATGAGACAGGAAGGCCTCACCTGGTATTCTGAAAGGGGGAGAGTTAGACTCTTGCCACAAGCCAGGTACCTCACCTACTTCTCTCTCCTTTCTTGGAACCTTTTCTCAAGTACTGCCGCCCAGCGTGGTTCCAATGGTAAATGACGGAATTGGAAGAGGAAATAGACATTCATGGTACTCCAGAATCCTCCTGTGGGTTTGGGATTGGAGTCAGTATGGCCACTGTGAGGACACCTGGGTGATCCCTGGACCCTCACCAAGGCAAGACTCAGAGGGACACCCAGCAGCAGGGGGAAGTCAAGAGAGAATAAAATGCCACACGAAGACTTTTTGCTTTAGGAGTTGATGAGATAAGTGATATATATTTATTATGTTTGGGAACTATAAAATGAAACCAATAGGATGAATGAATGACTTTTATTCTTGTTAAGCATTTATTTGGTACCTACTACATGCTTTGTATAGTTGACTCAACCTTCAAACTCTATCTGTTATGAAGCCACTGTTTACTGCGCCCACTGTCTATCTCTAATCTAGCCACCTTCACCTCTCACCTGGAGCATGGGAACACACTATACCTCTAACAGCAAATTATTGTTGAGAAACAACCTCATCGTTCTGCTATTTCTGCTATTACAGAAAACATTAGTAAATGTCT